GTTATTGCTTCTGCACATAGCCGGGTGTATCAAATGCAATCTCGATATCTTCAAATTTGATATCTGGAGTATCATCAACTCTGCTGCACGCCCTGCAGACAGCTGTTTTGGAGGTGCTGATTTCCACTCTATGGGAAGAATTTGTCGTTGTTCATCATATAAGAGGGTTTGTTTTTTACCATCCTTTTAGCCCTTCCCTCTGAGCTCAGCTCTCTGAACTGTTGTTAGCATACAGTTTACCACAGTAGATCTTGTCGAGGATCCCTCCTCATCAACGGAATCCCAATCGATATCAGTGCGAGGATGAAGATACGAAATCTTTTGAAAGCATTCATCTTTACGATATATGTGGTGACCATCTGGGCCAGGGTTCCTAGCTAAAAAATTCAAGAGTAATGAGATGATAGATTCATTAGAATCGGATGGACGATCCATCCCTTACCATACGCTACCTTCTTGATGTATCGGCTTGTTTAGCCTGGCCGGATCCGTACTGTGACAACTGTTAATAATGCCGTATGGTAGACATTTTCATTCGAAGGAATATTCACCAATTTTGAAGAACTCTACGTAGTTCTTCGTGTATTAAGCTATAATCATATGACAGCCATAGCTCAAACATAAACAACATTGTGACATGATATGACAAGCAAGTGTTTTTTGTTGTTGACCTAGTTCTTCGTGTATTGAGCTAAATTCCTATGAGACCCATAGCTCAAACATGAACAATTCAAGACATGATAAGCAAGTGTTCTTTTTGAACAATATTTGTATCCTATATTGTATGACTTTTCACAAGAACAATTACATTTATTTTGTATAGCCGCGTGTTTAATGGCATGAAATCGGCGAAACTCACGTCCTATCATATCTCCACTATTTGCTGAGTTCTCAAAACTGTTGCGCATTGATGAAAAAACAGGGTATATTTGACAACCCTACGTGTAGCCATTTTGCCAGTAGAAGCATAAACATAATGTCGCGAAAATAAATACACTTCCGACATTTTTTTAGTGTTAATCGGTTTATAACTTTCTAAGAGCAATCAATTCTAGTGAAGAGTATAGCATACTGTGTCATCAGAGGACTACATAATCTTCCTCCAATTCGGATTGCAGACACTTGTTAATCCCATACCACATGATTTCGGTACAATCAATTACGTCGTAATCCGGGGCGTGATTGTTATATTATTATGCCTGTTTTTAATTTAATTTATTTCATGTATTCTATCATGCAAAACGAATGGAAAAATAAGATGTAAATATTTGATAGTCGAGAATGGTAACTTGTATGTTAGTTCATTCAGACTTGCGGTGACTGATTTGGTTTATACCATTCATATCTCGGCATACCTTTAGTCAGAAACCCCCAATTGCCCAATTGAACTTTTCTAATTACAAAAAAAAAATCCCCTTGCCATAACCGTGAATTTAAATGTTTAAACTAGTACGAAGAACAGAATTCTCCACAATCCCTTGTTATAGTAAGTCTGCTCAATATTTTACAATTTACTTCTTTCAGAAACCCATCACATCGGCTGTAGGGTGATACTTTGGCTTCATTGTCGAAGAAGCAAGTCAGCCCGAATAGTCCACTTATAATTTTAAGAAGTTATGTATTTCAGTATTTAAAGTGTATTTCACTTTATACATTAATGACAACTTCTGCTCCTTCTCCCCTTTAGGAATCAGGACGACCCTATAAAGTGAAAATCCACGTTTCTGGTAGTTGTGAAAACTGTAAACTACATCGAGTCTACTTAATGATATACATACTATAAAACTCCAATAGCTACTATATAGAACTCATAGCCCTGTAAACGTTTGCATTCCGTGACATTTCGCAAGATATTGAAATCATCACAGCTGCTGTAGTTTGGTATTTTGTGCTCTATTCTGAAACCCACATTTTAGCCCCAATCGTCGAATATTTATCCGTCTTTTTGACATAGTTACAGCAGTAGTGAAACACTGCTATCAAAGACGACAGTATATATGCTGACCAGTCATCTGGTTTGATATATCATTTAAACTTTGTGTATATTCTAATACGTGTATCTACTTTTATTTAATCATCACTGTGGATGATTTTCGAATAGTTCGACCCGATATTATAATCGTACACTGATTAACTGAGGCGACAGCATTTAATACTTTCGTTCGGTTTTACACCCGTATGCTCTGAGCGCAATCAATCCGAATTTAAATATTGCGAACCAGATGCTGGGCAAAAGCCAACGTTGTTGTCATATTTTCATTCACAATAATCTACTATGAATGATGATGAATATGACTCTTCAAAACGTGCAACTGTCGCACTAGGTGTTTCTGCACTCACATTTAGTCGATAAGCTAAGTCCGGGTGTAATAGTTACATAGGTTCATGCCAAGGTAACTACTAGAAAAAGTTTCTAGCTTCAGCAGATCATATCCAACAAATATAAAATTGTAAACCCTAGAGCTCGTTATTTACAAGTGGTCGGGCAGATGACTTGTAAAACCGTATTTTTTACCTTTAAGACCGTATTTCTAGTTACACTGTCATTAATGATCTTGAAAGCGGCCTCGACTTACTAAAAAAAGAACTTATAACCGCTTTGGAACGAACAATTTGAGGCCATGTCCATTTGCAAGGAATTTAACGAATGCAGTTTACTATCGTGGTGAAAGAGTGAGAGAGAAAGCAGGATGCGATCCTATGTCGATTCGTGTCGCCTTCGATCCATTGAATACCTCGGTACCG